ATGCAAAATAATACACAATGGCATTGTATGGTAGTTTTTATAGATGACTCAATCGTAATATATAATTATATCATGGAGAATTACCATATGATATAAGAAAAAACTTTTTCTCAACTTAAAGGCATAATGGATATATGTCCCAAAATTACAGAGATCATGGACCTTGTGAGTACTTAATAATTGTACAAATTTGAAAAAAAGACGACTTCTGTCAGTAATACTTCTCGACATATTTTTATAGAAGCTTTTCAAAATGCAGGCAATTTAAAACAAAATGGTATTCATCCTCTACTTCACCACTGCCCCCTCCCAGTTAAAGTTTTCGTTCGTAGTTATAACAACTCTCATTTCATCTTCAACATCCCCCCCCCCCATGAAATATTTTTAGATCCACGCATGTTCACTTGAACACATTCTACACATTCCACTCTCCCTAAGTATTTTATTATGACGCCCTGTCTCATTTTCAAGATTATAAGATGAAAGCCTAATTCGTCTAACTTGAAATGGAGCTGTGCAGTTTTAAACTGACGAAAATTACACGCCGCATTTTAGTTTCACGGGGGGAGGGGGATATTTTCCATTTTCCACTGCATTCTATAGCGGAAAACATGTTCTAACAGAATTACAGAATAATCTCTTCTTCTTCCCAAATAATTATTGTTTTGAAACTTCGTTTATTTATATATATCATTCAGATATGCCTTTTGAAAACTGAGTTCTGAATACATGGTATATAAAATTTTAGCGGGGAAAAATGGAAGTTTTTGCGAAAAATGTGACATTAAAGCGGAAATTAAAATACATACTTGCATTCAGCAAATTGTTAAGTAAAATATAATTATATCTATGCCTCTTCCGTTAGCCAGTCGGGCTAAGTTTTCTGCCCCCTGTTGGGGGGTGGGGGGGGGTGTTTGGGGGGTAGGATTTTGCGCAGGCTTAACAATACTATTAATTTCTCAGGATTGTAAAATACAAATCTGTATTACATTTCCTCTTCAGAGTTATTATTACAAATGCTGATAAGTGTACTTACCTGTATAAATAAAAATGAGCTGAGTTTTATTCAATAGTTTTTAGCCGTGACCTTGAAACCTTTGCTAGAATCGGGATCTTAGAAATTTTAAAGTTCGTCATATTTTGCTGGCATTACATTGACTGTTTAAAAAATAAATTTTATCCGAGAAAAAAAAATCCACAAAATTTTTTACTGAATTATTACAGGAAATTGCTTTTCTTCATATTTAATACTTTATAAATTTCCCGCTGAAATTAATGTCTATTCACACCTTTGCAAGTCCGTCGCCCACACATCTCCTATTATGTTCATTCACGTAATGTGATTTAATTATATAGTTGGCTTTACAAAAAAGCAATGGGTGTTTGAAAAAATATATATAAAGATATCAAAATATTATCCAATAATTTTTTTTAATCCTAAATATAATTCATCTATTAGCATTACCAGCTGATCGGGGTGCCCTTTGCCTAAAACTCATTTAAAATTGCGGAAGTGACATACAGCGATTCGCATGAATGCACATTGTATCGATAGAAGGGAGCCATAAAACAACATGACGGGGTATATCAATGTAAACAAGTTTCACACCTTCGCGTTCTTTTGTTTACAAAGAAACAACATAATTACGTATAATTCCATGGATTATAGTATTGGTACATGTATTAAGACCGTATATTGGGACTTCTTCTAAATCGATATACGTGTAAATCCTGCTGCATCGTATAACCCGTTAAGAGAAAGAAAAAATCCAAATTATTTGTAAATATTAATTATAAATAAAGTTTTTAAAAGGGTGCTTGGATGCCCGGAACGTTTATTATGGCCGGAACCAAACTTACGCGGGCCGGAACGTTTATTATAGCCCGGAACCAATATTATAGGTATTTAGCGTTCCGGCCGGAACGCTAAGTTACCCGGAACGTAAATTATGCGACACCGTACGCCATTACGAAGTTCACAACATTCCTACTAGATTCTGTGCGACTTTTAAAAAATGCGTGTTTGTCATTTATTATTTTTTTTAAAGGTTTCTTTCCTTTAAATATTTTATAGGACAGAAAAAATACTTGATCGATCGGGCATAAACGATTGTTCTGAATGGAGATAAACGCCATTTTAATTTACTTTAAAACATGGTAACGAAATACGGTAAATATTTTTTATGAGCTTTATCGTATCTTTTAATGTTGTTGATTAATTATTCCACTGTTAATTAAAGCCAATTCTTGTGCTTGAGTGTAGGCCATTAGATCCATAGAAAACAGTGTTGTCCTCTTACTTAATTTGTGAATAAATACTAACACGTAAATATCAATGATTTTTTTAACCACTGGACTTATAATAAAAAAAGGAGGCTATACTTGATAAATAAGGAATGGATTTAATAGCTACCCAATTTACGCTGTATAACCTGGGTCGGGGCAGTTTACAGTTCAAATAAAGCTTGATCATTCATTTGTAAGACAAGCCTTTTAAAACATGGATATAAGAGGCAGTTTTCGATTTAACGTCATTTATAAAATCTTCCTAGTGGTTGTTGCATTTCTCTGTCATCAGCCTCATTTTGTCTCTGAAGTCCCATATTACTCAAATTTGAACATAATCTAAAAATCTGTTTCCTAGAAAGATACTTCTCTTCTGGGTATTTCTTTTTCTTAACCCCATGCACTAGTATTGGGATTTTCCGATTGCATAGAGCAGTTTACCAGTATCAATATAGTGATCTCTTGTATCGTTCTCCTTAAAAAAAGCTGAATTCCTGACTTTGATGATGTTATCAATACTTTAAATAAATAAATATGGCGTTATAGTATATTGTGCTTATATTGTAAATTGAGGGAAAACATGCTATAAAATACAGCTGTTGTTTGTAAATATTTTCTCATTGTTCAAAAATATAGACAACCAAAGTTGGGACATGTTTGTTGAAACACCCTGTATGAACCATTGTTGGTTGTTGATTAAAATACAACAATTGTTTGTTTTAACTTGAACGATTGTCTTAGGAGAAAATCACATTTTATAGAAGAAATCGATATTTACGTTACTATCGCCGATCATTGTGTAGTTTTTATTTTAAACATAGAAGAAGCTTGAAATCATTTAAGGTCTATTTCTTAGTAACATTGTCCTACATTTGAGCTATATATATTATCTGAACATCACACCCTTCACACATACATGTACTGTATGTGTGTCACAAATTTTTAAAATTTTAATATATTTATCAATTTTTGATGTCGCCGCAAAGCTAATACTTTCTCATTTGGAAACTTAAAAAGACTTGAAGGTTTGTTGAAATGACGCAATAGGGTTAAGTTGTAACTTTTAACATCAAGAACATTTATGCTATAATATGGAATGGTACAAAAGTCACTGTTTATCTGTAATTATCAAATATAGCCCCCGTTTTATTATAAGTCCAGTGGTTAAAAAATTCATTGATATTTACGTGTTAGTATTTATTCACAAACTAAGTAAGAGAACAACACTGTTTTCTATGGATCAAATTGACCTAAAACCAAAAAGTAGAATAAGCCTTTAATTAACAGTGGAATAATTAAACAACAACATTAAAAGATACTATAAAGCTCATAAAAATATTTACGTTACCATGTTTTAAAATAAATTAAAATTAAATTCTAAAGCTGTTTAACAGATTCGAGAGTAAATCTTTATTATTTAAAAACTGAGAAATACGCTGTTTCTTAGGATGGCATTTTTTTTCTGGAACAAACATGTAGATGTAAACGGAGGTGTAAACGGAAGTACAACGCTGAAAATGTTCTACTTAATATCTTTTGCATCCATGTGATTTGAAAACTGAATTGACATAATATTCACAAGAAGAATAGTAGAATTGTGGTTTAATAATTGAATGTTTCCATTTTGAGCAATTGGTTAATATTGTACAGTTTTAAGTGCAAGCCTTTTACGTTACCATTCGTAACGTGGATCTGAAACAAAACTGTTTGTTCTTAAAGTTTGTATTTTGCTGCTTGTTTGAACTGATAGTGTATCGTCAACTGAAAAATAGCTATATACACCTAAATTGTATACCGTACTAAACATTTATAATATAAGAGGGCAAATATCATTTATTCGTAAGAAGTATAGTTCCGGAGAATTGGCACTGTATTCAGAGAAAGAGAGAAGGGGGGGGGGGGGCTAACACATCAGGTTAGAAAAGACGGCTGTGGATGTTGGGTGCAAAGAAACAGGTCGAAATTGAAGTCATTCCCATTTTTATTGCCTGCAAGAAATATTAAATTGTGAACATAATTTTTCCCTTTAAAATTATTGCTTAGGCATAGATTGTATGCATCTTACGGTATATGCTTTAATGGTACTAAAAATTCAATTTACGTTATATGTAGAATGTATATTGCTCTTTTAAATACTTGTAACATGCAATTGTAATTATTGACAAACTATTATTTTGGGGGGGAGGGGGTATTTTATTTTGTTTTTGAGATTTAACGATAAAGCTTTCACAAGCAATTAAGCATTTGAAATAATCAACAGTTTAAATGGTGGAAAGGGGGGTGGGTGTCATAAACTAAATGTTTGTTGCTGCTGTTGTTTGGCTAATCAATTCTCTGGGAGACTGCCTCATTTCCAAAAATGTCGAAAGGCGTAATAACGCATTTTTAGCATTATTACGCCTTTTTCACTTCGCGTTATAACGCCTTTTAAAAGGCGTAGTTACGCCTTTTTAAAATGTGTTATCATAGGAAGTTAAAAGGGTTATAAAGCCTTTTTTGCGTCACTACACCTTTATTGGCGTTATAATGCCTTATTACTTCGCGTTTTTACGCCTTTTTGTGTTTATACGCCTCTTGAAAAGACGTTATTATGCCTTATAATTTTTTTTACCCACAGAATGATCCTAATAGGCTTTCGTACTTCATGTAATCTTTCGCTTTTTCTATATTGCAGTTGGATATAATAGATTTCATTGGCCAGTTTCCAGTTAGGTAATTTCGTTGAAATTCCAGTCGTTCTTAACCGGTCAGTTCATATTTTGTCAAAGGATTGCTCACGCAAGACGTTGTAAAGATGGAAAAGGCACAAAGTCCAAATTATTTTCTGGCAATTCAAGTAACCGACATAGAGGTTTGATTCTCTCTCTCTCTTTCTCTCTCTCTCTCTCTCTCTCTGTGTGTTTTACGATCCACATTCATTAGCAGTATTTCTAAGCTCTCTAATTGTAAATTACATATAAAATTGACTGGAATTAAAATTGAAGAATTAAATATTTGGTCACTATTTACATAAAGTAGAAGGCTAATTATTCATATTTTTGGTAGGACAATGACATTGTATTGTTTGTATACGATAAGTAGACTAGTGAATGCGATAACATTTGATTTGACAACTATACGATTCTACTCACTTTTCCTCCGTGATCCTAGGCCAAAGAAAATTGACCAAATAATTTCTTGACCAAAACTGTGTCTACCCCCCCCCCCCTAAAATCCAATTCGTTTTGCTATCTCTTTTCGTCCGTCGTCGTGCGTCGTGTGTTAAATTTTTACATTTTCAGCTTCCTCTCTGAACGGGCTGAACCAATTTCAACCTATTCTGGTATATAGCATCTATGGGTTAAGGAATAAAAATTTTTAAATTCATCGCCCCTGTCCCCCTGGGGCCTGAGGATTTAAAAAAAACTGGTAGTTTACTGCTTATTATGAGAACTGTTTTTCGCTCATATTATTTATCTGGTTACTGAATGATCTGATTGCCAACTCCAGGATCGTTGTACGCTTTTTGCTCGGAGAGGTTTTGAAACCAAGAAGGACCACTCCTTTAACCCCCTGGTCTTAACCAGTTTGACCCGTTCGTTAGTTTATTTATGTTCCTTTATTTCTCGAAATGATGCTCCATTTTTAATTTACTCTTCCAAGGATTAATTTACTTCCTGTCCATAGCGCGTCACAGGTTATGGGGAGTGGCCCTGTTGCCCAACCTGTATAAATGCAATCAGAAAGAGTCGCAATCCAGCTGACCACTTAACAAATTAACAATCCATGATATTTACAATCACTAAAGATACACAATACACAATATGATAGACATTATAATAAACATTACTTATTAAATTATAAATATATTAACCTGCAAACAAAATTGAGCCATCTGAAAATTTTACCCATTTTACAAATATCTTACCTGTATAAATGCAACCAGAGAGATTCACAATCCAGCTGATCACGGGTCGGAAGTGTATAACTGAGCTACATTTATACCCCCGTACATGCCCTACATATTTTAATATTTCTTCAAAATTTGCAATAGTGACTTTCAATTATGGTCTAAATTGAAATTGATATTTTTCATCCTCAACCACTCTTTCATTTTTATTTGCACATAATAAAATTTATGTTGAACCATTTGCATAATCTTTACATTATGCAAATGGTTCAACATTAATTTTATAAAATTATGCCTTCCCCCGAGGTTATAAATTCCAAAGTTTTTTTTTTTTTTTTAATGCAGTTTTTGTTATGATAAAACCATCAAATTAATGCAATCTTCTTTACTCCTGGACATCAAGCAGTCAAACTGCTAGCATGATTGTAATAAGCATTGAGCCCTCTACCTAACTTGTGAATTTCATGGCACCTTGGTCAGAGGTTCTGATGTTAGGTATTAAGCCGATGAATTAAATTCATAGTTATGGTGAGCAAGGGCGCCTCTTTCAAAATTTGAAAGATGTGGCCCCTGGGTCAGAGGTTCCATGGGGAGGGAGGCTTATCTATTATATACTGAAAATGAATTATTGCTTTGAAAGTCTTCTCCTCTCCTCTTTGGTATTATGCAAACAAACTAAATGCATAGTTGGGATGAAAGGGTGCCTCTTTTAAAATTGTAAATTTCGTGGCTCCTGGGTCAGGGGTTCCGGTGTTAGGGCAGGGCTCTAATGATAATATAGTGAAAATGCATTAATTCTCTGAAAATCTTCTCTGCTCCTGGGTTTAACACCGATGAACTAAGTGCATGGCTATGAGAGCAATGGTTCCTCTTCCAAAATTGTGATCGTCACGGTAGCTCATACAGTAGAGCGCTCACTCCGTGATCGGAAGGTGTGGATTCGAACCCCGGATAAAAAAAAAAAGTAGGTAGCAATTGTTCCTTCGCCAAGCGCTCGGCACTTTGAAGTGAAAGTTTAGGGTCCCTCGGATGAGACCTTGAAAACCGAGGCCCCGTGTCACGGCAGGCGTAGGCACGATCGATGCAGATGATGAAGGTATATTGCTGCATAAGTAAGGAAATTTGACGATTGAAAAGTTAAAGTCATCACGTTTATCATAAAGCTTGGTTGTTAGATTACCATTAACGTCTTTTTCTAGTAAAATATCTAAATATGAAACAGATGTGTCAGACTCTGTAGTATCTTTTATCTAAAGCTCACCGGGATATATCGTATTTACATAAGAATGGAAATAACCATTGTTAATTGACAATACGTCGTCGATATATCTAAATGTCTTAAGCAGAATGATACCCAAGAATTCATTTTTTTCCCTCATCTTTAGATAAAACAGAACGTTCGAGAGATACAAAACTTCATATTAGAAAAAGAAAAAAACCTTTCTCATGCGATGGTGGAGATAGAGAGCCTCCATTTGACCCTGGGGGTTTACCACTTAGAGGACCAGGAAAGGGTCGCACAGTAAGATGTTTTACCCTCTGCAAAAAAGTAAAGTGACCAAACAAAATGAATCTATCTCTTTCTCTCTCTCTCTCTCTCTCAACTAAAAATATATATGCAGGGCAGCAAAAGCTTTGGACAGATTTCACAGTGAATTAAAGATTTCCGATTTTACTCCACCAAGTTTGAATGTTTCTGATGTGGGACACTTTAATCACAAAGTTTTGTTCGCATCAGTGACAGAGGATAAAGGACTAAAAGACCTTAACAACCTCGTTAGTGAGTACATATTGAAAATAATCAGGTGTATAGAATTCTGTTATACAGTGACTGCAACGTTATTGTTGACAAACCAATCGTGTAGAATCGTTCGTGAAACGTGCATGAGAGATCGTGCGTGTATCAGGCTCAATCGTTTGCGGTTTTAATCGTGCGTGATCGTGCGGTAAGAAACGTGCAAATTTCGTTTTGTAAGTTTTTATCGGAATGTAATTTTTTAAACAAGCATTTCGCTTGTCTGTTTTAAAGAAATGAAGCGCGATTTGCATAATTGAACGACGTAATTATCGTTAGTAAATAAGCAATATAGTAAGTCGTTCAATATTGTACTTTCTTAAAATATCATAACATTTAATGATAAACGAATTTAAAATGTTTCACAATTTTTCTCTGAACATTACATTTACAGCTCATTTTAGTCAAGATAATTTTTATATCAATACACCAAAAATGTATATCTTAAGTTTACAAAAATAATGAGTAATTCTTAATACTGACATAATTATTTAGTCGGCGAATGTTACCGACATGAATACCGGGGTTACTCTGTTGCGTTTGCTGAATTTGTTATTTAAATTCAAAAACGTAAGAAAAGACACAGATATTATATCAATTAATATGAACTATTTATTTAGATCATAAAATATTAAATATAATATTTACAAGTTTAATTTATCCTAGTTACCTTTTAAAAATATTTACAATATAATTAAAATCCCTGGTCACTATAACATTCGTTAAAACACCTTTCTACAATTTTACAATATAATTTAAACCTCTAATCACTAAAAAACAGAAGTAAAAAATACCTTTCAACAATTGTGTACACCCTTAACGGCTGCCGTACTTATATATCTATTTTAGATTTAAAAAAAAAAAAAAAAAAAGTATGTAAACAAGTGTATCTAGGTAACTAGGTCATAGCAATACCTATATATTTACAATACACAACTGGTATCATTCAAATGGTAATAAAAATACGATAATATTTATTTAGAATATATAACATTGTAACCTAAAAATAGTACTCGAGTCAAAGTACAGAATAAATACGAAATCCTTAATACAAATTATGTCGAGATCGGGATCGGAATTGCAATATAAAAACATGGGATTTCCCGGTAAAGTCAAAACATACGATTTCACAGTATTGGATACAAGATGTGGTTTTCTACAAAAATATACATGCTCATGGAAGCAGAGGTAAATAAGTATTACAATGAATATGATTAACGTTTAAATTAGTTAATAAAATATGCATTTAAACAGTAAACGTGCAGAAACACCAAGTTCGAATTTCCTCGACATGTCACAACAATGAATATCAAACAATTAAATAGAAATAACACCCATTGTATGTATGGAACTATAATAAACATTTCATATTTATCACATACTCTTATCAGTGTTCATCCCTGATACTCTATTTTTATAATTTCTGTAAATGAATGAATTGTAAATTAATTACTGATTTTAGAGATTTACCAATGGATAGATGGATATAATTTTAATTCATTTTTATGCCATTTTTTTAAAATCTTTTCCGCAGTACAGTTAAGGCAACATTTTCTATAAAAAGGCACCAAAAACGAGACACTTAAAGTTCAACCGTCTTATTTTCTAGTATGAAACTCTATCCAAAATATCTTAATGGCTTTATGAAGAGTTTGTCCATCGCTTTTCACATCGGTATTTTTAGCTCACCTCAACGAAGTTGGGGGAGCTTATGTAATACCCTCGGCGTCGGTGTCGGCGTCGGCGTCCCAGGTTAAGGTTTTTGGAGCAGTTTTCTTTTCAAGTACTTCTATAGCCTATATTAGTCAGAGATGCATGGAGGATGCTTCTAGTGTGTTTTATTGTACCAGTCAAGGTTTCAGATGCTGCAATTTCAGCTAAAGAATGACCAGGTTAATGTTTTTGGAGCAGGTTAAAGTTTTTGGAGCAGGTTAAAGTTTTTGGAGCAGGTCTCATTTCCAAGTAACTATAAGCCCTATATTGACCAAACTTGCATGGATGATACATCTAAGGATGCACACTACTGAACTTGCTTCGGATGCTGGATCTGACCTACATTTTCCGGATGAGTGACTAGGTTAAAGTTTTTGGAGTAGATTTCATTTCCAAGTAACTATAAACCCTATATTGACCAAACTTGCATGGATGATACATCTAAGGATGCACACTACTGGACTTGCTTCGGATGCTGGATCTGACCTATATTTTCTGGATGAGTGACCAGGTTAAGGTTTTTGGAGCAGATGTCATTTCCAAGTAACTATAAGCCCTATACTGACCAAACTTGCATGGATGATACATCTAAGGATGCACACTACTGGACTTGCTTCGGATGCTGAATCTGACCTATATTTTATGGATGAGTGACCAGGTTAAAGTTTTTAGAGCAGATGTCATTTCCAAGTATCTATAAACCCTATATTGACCAAACTTGCATGGATTATACATCTAAGGATGTACACTACTGGACTTGCTTCGGATGCTGGATCTGACCTACATTTTCTGGATGAGTGACTAGGTTAAAGTTTTTGGAGTAGATCTCATTTCCAAGTAACTATAAGCCCTATATTGACCAAACTTGCATGGATGATACTTCTAAGGATGCACACTACTGAACTTGCTTCGGATGCTGGATCTGACCTACATTTCCGGGATGAGTGACTAGATTAAAGTTTTTGGAGCAGATGTCATTTCCAAGTATCTATAAACCCTATATTGACCAAACTTGCATGGATGATACATCTAAGGATGTACACTACTGGACTTGCTTCGGATGCTGGATCTGACCTATATTTTACGGATGAGTAACCAGGTTGAAGTTTTTGGAGCAGATCTCATTTCCAAGTAACTGCAAGCCCTATATTGACTAAACTTGCATGGATGATACATCTAAGGATGTACACTACTGGATTTGCTTCGGATGCTGAATCTGACCTATATTTTATGGATGAGTGACCAGGTTAAAGTTTTTAGAGCAGATGTCATTTCCAAGTAACTATATACCCTATATTGACCAAATTTGCATGGATGATACATCTAAGGATGCACACTACTGGATTTGCTTCGGATGCTGGATCTGAGTTACATTTTTCGGATGAGTGACCAGGTTAAGGTTTTTGGAGCAGATCTCATTTCCAAGTAACTATAAGGCCTATCTGAACCAAACTTGCATTGATGATGCATCAAGGGACGAACAATCTCAAAACTTGCTTCGGATGCTGGATTTGACTTACATTTTCTGGATGAGTGACTAGTTTTAAGTTTTCAGATAAGTCTATTCCCAAGTAACTGCAAGCCCTATCAGACCAAAATTGCATAAATGCTGCATCTAGGGATGCACACTCCTAGATTATTAGTTTAGTGTGGGACTTTACCTTACTTAAAGACAACATTCGTTGAGGTGAGCTCTGTAATCTCTGATTACCTATGTTTTGTCATCATGTGACCCTCTACAGTCACGTGAGCTCCGATTTTAGGTCAAAATATGAAATGTCAAATTTAACCAAAAAGTGCAAGGGCAAGGCAAACAATATTTGAACTGCACAATGTTTCATTGTGTCCCTTGGTATCTGTCCTATCGAAAAACCAATGCTCATTCAGTCAGATTTCTGAGATATTTAAGTTATTCATTGAAAACAAACACCAGTATTCCAAAATAGGGTATTTTTCATCATTTAATCGGAAATTTTAAATTGCCTAATGAATTACAAAGAAATGAGCATCACTTTTTAAAAACTATACAGTAAAATAAAGAATTTAAAATAAAAACCTACCTCTTGGGTTGTCGCCTTGCCCTTGCACTTTTTGATTAAAAATTGAAATCTTAACACATTCATTCTAAATATAGTTTTCAAACGCATCATTGACCCAGCATGGGAGATAACTCTGTGGTACTTTATAGAGTTTGTGTACCTCGCAAATTTTAAACAAATAATACCTACGGACTGTGCTGGGCTTTATTTCACTAACTCAAAACGGTATGCATAAAAAATAATCCGTGACTTTACTTTGTTTTGTATATCTTCGTTCTTTTATACGCTACACAAGACGTATTTGATACCTACCGCATTTCCTCCGTTCGCCAACAATAGGCCTAAAATTTGCCGCAACATCCATCATGTAAATCAATTGGAAAATGCCCATGGTTAACAATATTGAACATTGTAAGATTCAATCATTTGTAATAAAAAAAATAGACAACTCCTATCAATGATAAAACATTTATTCATCCCCAGTAGACACACAGAAAAAAAATATCTCCAACAGAACTTAGTGTTTTTGTTTTTGTTTTTTTTTTTACTTATGTGAATATTTTAGTTATCAAACCTTCAACTGTTTAGGGATTCCAGATTACGTTAAAAGTTTTAAGAACAGGAGGAAGGGATTGGGGTGCTTACATGTACTCCTGTATTTAATAACCTGTTTTCCTTTCTACAGATCTAACACCCCCCCCCCCCCACACCAGTTTGCCTCTGGCTCCTTTGATACCATATACCTTATTTGCATGTTAAAAATAAATTATTAAACAGTGTTTACATCAGGTTTTACTTATTTGGGTATTGTCTCACACTGGTTTTTACACATTCGATGAAACTTCGGGGATCAGGTCTGTGGCTACTGAGCTACTCGCTTTCATAGGGGATCTGATTGGAACAAATCAAAAGTCCGTAATTAAAATTTAAAGATGAAGTGAGATTGTTATAGATAGTTTTGAATTTCTTAAATTGCAAAACTTTAATGTAACAATTGTAGCACAATCACATTAGGGGAAAGGGGGGGGGGGGGCTTTAGTCTCATTTTTTTGTTTTGTTTGAGTTATTATCAATCCATGCGCAAACAAGATAATCATACTTAAAACTTTGTAATCAAGAAACAGATACATCCGTTAAAGAACAGGTGAACACAATATACATGCTGAAATTTAGATCTTGTTGGTACCCAAAAAACACAGACAGGCGCGTAGCCAGAATGGAAGTGAAATGTACGCAGAGAGCGGCTGAAGTCACTAGAAGCTCATGGGTTTTACCAAATATTTCATCCAAAATCACAATAATACAAATATTTGCTGGATGGTATTGATAATTTTTTTTCTCTTAAATCTCGCCTGTCAGAATATATGCAAGTAAAGATATTCAAGTCTTAACAGCCTTCAAACTTTCAGACCATTGTACTGTTAAAAATTCAAAGTATTATTTATCTAGAAAATTTATTTAATTAAAAACAGCTTTTCAAATTCAAAGGCAGGCTGTGAAGGGATTTCTGGGCAGGTGCAAAATATTTCAAACAGTCCACAGTTCAAACAGTTCTTCTGGATGAAATTAATTCTGAAAACAAAATGAAATACCATTATGGAAAGTTCATTGGTGTTTTCAAAAAATGATACTCAAAACAATGCATTGAGTAACATGGAAAGGATATACATGTATATATTTGTAACTACTGTTTTTTTTTTATTATCAAAACATTTCAATAATCTTGCTAGGAATATGGTACAGTATGGTTTATAGCTAATATGGAGCATACCTTTTTGTTTTATTGGGGGAAACACTTCCTGTCTGAATGAATTGTTCAAATTGATTGGGAGTAGCTACAACACAACAGATATGTAATGAGTGAAATACATAATGATTACAATTGTAGAATGAAATGACATTGCATTGTGCAATACAAACCATTCTATACTATATTTTTCTGAAATTCATAAAATAAATGGAAACAAACTTTTTTTTACAAAACTTTTCTGGGAAATTGAAACCTATGACATTTGCAAACATAGAATTGGTAGCTATGCTTAATTTAAGTAAAAAAAAAAATGAATATACTAGAGATAACATTTAATTCTTTCACCTGTACAAAATTTAAAAAAAAAAAATGACACTGACATACTATAAAATTAATGTGAAATGCTTTAGTGTGATCATACCCAGTGGAGAAATTGAGGCATCTACTTTTGATAGTTCAGGCTGATGTAAATGCCAGTTCTAACCAGTTCTGTGACAGCTACAATGATTAAAGAATTATACATATAAACGGTTATACATGTAAGACTGACTTAATATATATGTAGTCAGACAAATGAAAATTCAAATATTTTATTTTCATTAATGTAGAAATTCTACAAATTTACAGCCTAGTGATACAGATAGATAAAAGTTCTACGGATGAATTTAAAATATGAAGCACTGGTAAAAACTGAAATCTTAAAATTCACATATTTTTGATTGCCAGAGGTATAAATTAAAATTTATAGGGTCTTATACTCTTGTATGTACAGTGCACTGCCACATGTATACATTGTACACTGTGCAGTTTGATTTCACAAATACATTGTAAGTGTGACTGCATCTAAATTATAATTTGATATCATGACATGCTGTGCTTATATTATGTAACATGTTTGTACATGTATGCCAAAGGACAACATCATTGCATGTTTTAAAAGTGTGCAACTTTCGTCATGTATGTGTTTGTGTGTGTGTGTGTGGGGGGGGGGGGGGGGCATACATACAAGGCACTTCATTACATTTTGTGACGGACTGTAATAATACATCTGTACATGTTCACGGTTATTTTACATCGATGTAAAGAATAGTATGTCTACATGTTAATACCTATGCGCATACACACCTTAATGAACAGAAACTTGAGAAAGGGACCTAGGGCTAGGGTAGTGCGGATCGTCTCAGTTTTCCATGATTTCCCAAAATAACGTCATCATCTTCTCATCAAAAAGATAAACAAGGCCTGGGTCTCTTATTTTATCCCTATTCTCTTTAATGATTGCCTGATTGTTGCATTTATCCACTGCATATCTCAGCTGCTGTCGCCACGTTTTAAGATGTAAACAACATTCCGTGTCACCGAGTGCAAGCGCTTGGCTGAAGCCGAATGCAGCCAAACGACACAATAAAAAGAGAATTATTTCAAGACGTGTTGTTACTATATAAGAGAAAATCACAAATGTTTATTTATTTAAACATGAAAATACAGACATTCATTACAAATTCTCGCAATCATCATTAAAAAGCTTTTTTGAGCTCTATTTCCTCATATCATATAGATCTATTAGGGCGGAGCAACTGTCATGACGTCAAACCTCATTATGACCTCATTACCATATTATCTTCATGTGTAGCCTTAACTGTACTGCGTCCCCCTAACTGCATATCATAACACCTAATTGAATCAAAACTCACAGCCCATGCACCTACATGTATATTATCTCATAGAACATGTAGCAATCGATCGTAAATTACGTCTTTACCAAGTCGGAGAATTTCATGAATATTTCTTTTGTAATCTAAAATAACAAATAAGTCTTACATGTGTCTTAGATAGTTTAAAAATATCCATTTTGAATATTTTTTCAGTTTTCCAAAGTTGATGAATTGCATCAATGATTATTTGCAATCTAAAACAACTCTTAAGTCTTATTTCGTTTTGAAAATATCCATTCCTAAATATTTTTACCCATTTTGGGTGAAGAATCGTGCGTTTGCGTTAGCAATCGTGTAAGATCGTGTAACGTGTAGAATCGTGTGCGTGAAGGATCGTTCGTGTAACAGGTTTAATCGTGCGTTAATCGTGCGTAATCGTTCGTGTAACGTGATCGTTCGTGTAAGTTGTCAACAATAACGTTGCAGCCACTGTACGTAGACCAACTGTTTCTCCTTAAAACTTGGAATGTTTCGTCTTGTAGAAGATGTAAGGAAATCTCTTGAGACAAATGGATTTTCTACCGCAGATAACCGATACACGCCTCACATTACAATTAGCAAGATGTCCAAGAACATGCCCAAACTTCGAAAATTGGGTGTGTATATTTCATTATATAAAAAAATATCAGGAAACTTGTCCTTTAAAGAGCCATAGCGCATTGATAGGCATTTTCGCCTACTATAGAGACCTTCTTATCTACATTTTTTTTTTACCAGTATTTTGTTATATGACCCTAGTTTAAACTTGAGTAAACTCATATTACACAATAATGATATTTAAAACTATTAATGACGTCAATAATTCCTGATAGATATGAAATATCCTAATATGCACCTTATGCTTTGAAAGTATATCCGGAAAAGGCAGTTCTAAAATATTTCATTGAATTTTCAGATTCACTTCTATCTGTTTTATTTTTTACTGATTCTCTAAACCGTCATGAATTAGTGCATGTAAGACGATTGTTGTATGATAAATATGTACCTCTGAAAATATAAACACTCATCCACAAATTACGTGTATATTAAATACGTTGGTGTTGTTCAGGTTGAATTGAGAAGGTATATATCTCATAGAAAAGGGTGATTTCATTTGAAATTCTTGAGTTGGCTATTCCATTGACAGGTCTGCTTTGGCTCTTTATCAAACACTGATTTATTATGAACAATTTTTTTTATTAAACTGGAAGTAAATGGATATGGAACTATTTTGATCAGGTATAAAGAGAATTGAGCCAACGCATTATGAAGAGAAGAAGACCGTCTACTTTGGAAGACAGACAGTTGAAGGTATCCAGCTTTGTTCTATGGACGAACCAAAGTCAGAATCTGGGTACTATCATGTAGAACATGAAATCAAATTCCAGTCTTCTGACGACACGAAAGTTAACTGATATACGCACTACTGTTTGAAGAGTACGGATGGTTCCCCGTCACTTTGAAGAGTACGGATGGTTTCCTGTCGCTTTGAAGAGTACGGATGGTTTCCCGTCGCTTTGCTTCAAGCATTTTATAAACTGCCATTTAAGAATGGAATTGCTTCTTATAAGTATGTCGACAACAAAATACAGAAAATATTTTTTTCACAAACCATTTGAATATCCATATTAACTTTATTCTATTAGAACAAAAATTGAATGTCAAAAAATTCACGCTGACTTCCTTTTAAATTTGACAGTCAAAAATCCATTTGAGTCGTTTTTCTGTTTTTTGTTTTGTTTTTGTTTGTTTGTTTTTTTGTTTGTGTGTTTTTTTGTTTTTTTTTTTGCTATATATAAAAAGGGAATTAGTCACTGTGAATCTTTCCGTTGTCTTTTTCTAAAAGTAAATAAAGATTTTTTTTAAATGTGAGTTTATTGGGTATAATTTTTTTAAATTTCTTCTGGTTTTCTAAGATTAACACTTCTTTCTGGCCAGTTGTTTTCGGAACGTTGATGAAAGACAGTGTTGTAGGTAACTTGTAAATATCTGGAATTCACACAGTATTTTTGGTTTCGTTTTCTGTACATTGCTTGTTGGATTTCATTGGTTCTATTTTCTGAAAATAGAAGGAAGTTTTAAAAGTAACCTGCAGGTGACAATTCAAGTAGAGTCACTTTTAGAAAACATTTCCGAAAAGCGTATTGTTAATACTTATCAGATATAAAATTTTAAACAGTTTTCTTAAATTATTTTGAAATATACGTTAATCAAATCATGAGAAAAATAGTTTCCAAATTTGATAATGCGTGTTTTTTTCTAGCAAGAAAATATTATGTTTGTAGTTCTACATAATGTAAAAGAAGAGCATTTTCTTGTTCCACAAAAAGTAAAAAAAAAAATGATCCCCCTAGAGATATCTAAATAGAAGCTGCCATGGCAAGGCTTGAACATAAAAGTCTAAATGCATTTGCTATCTTCCACTACCCAAATAGGTGTTAAGAAGAAAGTGTTTTAAATTGACATCACTCTACAGTGAAACGACTGAGTAGAGATATTATATTTGTAATTCTTGACAAAAAAAAATTATTTACAAATCATATCACTTCGTGGAATCCACAAACACCAGTTTTTCTTTCGCGCTTTTTATAAATGGATTTCATTGGACAGTTTCCAATTACGTAATTTTTTCCAAATAAACATTCCAGTCCTGCTTAACAAGTCAGTTCATACTATGTCAAAGGGCTGTTCAAGCTTCACGTATTGAACAAGACGTTGTGAATATGGCAGAGGAGCAAAGTCCAAATTATTTTCTGGCAATTCAAGTAACCGACAAAGAGGTTTCTCTCTCTCTCTCTCTCTCTCTCTCTCTCTGTGTGTGTGTGTGTGTGTGTGTTCATTAGCAAAATTCCTAAGCTCTATAAATTATATACTACTGACTTGAATTGATATTTTTGTATAAAGAATTAATTAATTAGATGCTATATACATAATGAAAAAAAGCTTATTATTCTTATTTTTGGTGGGGCAATGGCATTGTCTCCGCACGATAAATAGACTGGTTTCCTCAAATAACGTATGAATGAACACATACGATTATGCTCGCTTTTTGGTGAGTAAAGGCCACAGAAAATTGACAAAATAATTTTTTGACCAAAACTGTGGTTATGCCCCTCTTTAAAGTCCAATTCGTTTTTAAAAGGGATTGATATTTATCTTAAAGGTGCTTGGACAAATATTTGAAGTTAATATTTTCTCAAATTTTTCTGTAAAATTTCATGACTTATATGTTGCTATAGCATTTCATACTAAAATATAATAAAAATCTTATTTCATCTCGTAGTTATTGAAACTTCAAATTTCTGAACGCGTTTGATTGACACACCCTTGCACTTTCACAAATTTTAATTTTATTCTTAATACTTAAGAAAAGTGGCGATTTTGTTGTGTATTAATGAAAAATATTAAAACTATAATCCAGAAAATTCAGAGTAGAAATGTTCGAAAGCAAAACCCACTCACAGTATTGTGAGTCCGTGCTCAGTGGTGTGTGCAGACTTTAACAATTGAACACACATGTGAATCGTAAACATTAACAATAACAGAGCTCGTGCCCTGTTTACAAAAACAGTTTATGTTTCACGGGTGTATTCAATTTGTTAAACTCTGTACACAATACTGAGCACGGGCTGACGATATTAGTGAGGGGGTTTGCTTTCGCACATTTCTACTCTGAATTTTCTGGATTATAGATGTAATGTTTTTCATTAATACACAACAAAATCGCTTCTTTTCTTAAATGTTATGGATAAAGATAAAATTTGTGAAAGTGCAAGGATGTGTTAATCAAACGCGTCCAGGAATTCGTAGTTCCAATAATTTCCAGATAAAATAAGTTTTTAATTATATTTTCGTGTGAAATGCTATTGCAATATATAAGTCGTGATATTATACAGAAAATTTGAGAAAATATTAACTTCAAATCTGTGTCTAAGCACCTTTAAGCAGATTGATACATAAGTCGTCCATGTTGTCTTTTTATCCTTTTTATTAAATAAAACAGAACATTCGAGAGATAAAGAACGTCAGTTTAGATAAAGAAAAGATAATTCAGCAAATTAAGTTTCGATCCCACTGAATCTTTTTAATTATGGTTATAATTAGAGAACTTTTCATTGATAAGTTTGAGAGTGTCACATTAAAATCATCCTAACATACTTTTGGTAATGTATTTTAAATTTCATGTAAATATCCCGTGGGGAACCCCTTCGTTTTAAATGTGTTATTACTGTACATATCCTTCACTGAACCTCAGTTCAGACCTTAAAGCTGAACACACTTCGTAAAAAGAATCTGTCCGCCATTTTCGATTGGACTATCGCTATATCTGAGGGCCCCTATATATAGAGCCGCTCACTTGGTCACTGTTCAGTGTAATCAATTGTCACCGGTGTAGACGGACGTATGCTATACAGGACTTGGTAGCGACAACAATAACTGTCTAATGCAGGATAGTAAGATACCAAAGAGATTTACAACAGTTGCACAGGTCAGTGCAGTATACAAACAAACAAACACAAATATACGTAACTGCAATAAAATGTAAGCAAAAGTAATGCAAGATAACCAGCACGAACACGAGTCGCCATTTCACGCCGATCCCCGTGACAATAAAGCAGTCAGGTGTAACGAATGCGAAGAGTATACCCTGGTGCTGATATCTTAGATAGTAATATCGAAAATGGCGTATGCCTATTTACGAGTCGTGTTCAGCTTTAAAACCCGCCAGTCCGTGTAATTTAGTTTGGACGCGGCAGTCCAGAGAGGAGGACGCCTTTATCTCCTCTTATATCTTTGTTTTTTACATGTATGTACCCTTGTGATTCATGGCAGTGCTTGCTCTGGTGTGATATTATTTTTAGCAGTGTAATGGTCCAGTTTTTCTGAGGTTCCATCCATATGTCAGAGTTTTTGTACAACAGTGAGGCCACCTAGTGCCTAAAGTCCGCCCATGGCGTGTAGTAGATAGGCCAGCCAGCTTTGGAACCTAGAGTCCATCCTCCAGCCTGTGAGGTGGAAAAGCCAGCGGCGAGACGGGAAATTACGACAAACAACAACAATGACATTTGTATATAGTATCATCATTAATTAAACATGTAAATTGTAAACAAACGCATTTGAGTTGTATTTTAATTAATTAAAAGATAAATCCGCTCGACAATCTGTGACAGAGTGTCTTACTTTAAAGAGAGGATATTATAAATAGCGTCAGATAACGTGTGCTGTATATATATATGCATTGACAGTGTCAAAACCTAGTCTATCTTGGGATTTTTTTCCTGCAGACATTCTCTCCAAAAAAGGGCACATAACTTGAAGAGGCATAGACACTCTTGCATTTTTGTTTTGTTGTTCAATTTTTATATTTATTCCTATCTATTTTAAAGATAACTTCAGCTCAATAATTTGAATTAATATGAGTCAAATTTAGTATAAAAACAAAGGCCTATTAATTGGTATGAAATATATCAGTCAAAATACAACCAAATAATAGGTTGTATTTGCTAGCAAGGTCATTATAACGACCATCGAATTTATAAAATACTGGCTACAAAAGAGATTGTTTTGAAACCTGTGTAATATCAAATATTTTGTCAGTAGCCTGCTTCAGTTTAAAAATTGATCGTACTCAGAGCATACTCTTGTGTATCGAATTATTTGGGAGACCTAAATACCATATGCAGATGATAGTGTATATCACTATATAAATAATGGAAGTTGAGGAGGGGGTGGGGTTAAGTGAAGTCATCTCGTTTGTCATACACTTTAATTATTAATCAGCTGTCTATAGTCCGTAAACATCCAGTATGAAACAGATATGGCAGACTCTGTGGTGTCTTTTATTTCGAGTTCACTGGGATATATCGAGTCGAATAATGAATGGAGGTATTCATTATTAGTTGATAAAACTTCATTTATGTAACTGTTGGGTTAAAGGCTACAGCAAGTGTCTTCTCATGTAAAAGTTCTTAAATTATTTCTGCTTCTAAGAATATAAAATCAGGTTGGCTTATAAAGAAGTGCAATTAGTGCCAATTGGAAACTCCATCAGATTGTTTGAAGACTTGATTTCCAGAAGCTACATAGATATTGTCAATGGGAACTCCAGCATCTTTTTAGGTCAACTTCAGAGTACTTGTACATGTACTTATATGTAGAATCAGAATGATTGTTTACAAAATAAGTTTGTAGATGACCAATGAAAGGGAACTGTGACTTTTGGTTGGATTACAAGATGTGGAATGAAAACTGAGTTCTTCTAAACTGTAATAATGATCCTTACAATAAATATGATATAGTTATTACAAGCTTTGTCAGCTAGAACCAAGTCGTTATTTTCATGTAGCCTTACTACTGAGTAATTCTTTTCTGACTTCTTGTCTACTGAAAAAGGAAGTATAGATTGTTTGCATTTCATCCTATAATTTTCTAATGCGATTTTAAAATATATAGCTAAAACGCTTTATCCGTTCTTGTGGAGTGTCAAGACCTTCTCCTTCATATAACGTACTTCATCACTCATCCAGAAAATATGTTAAAGGCGACGTCTGAGGGATGTCTTGTTGTATACATTCGTATTGTAATATAATCTAAGCATGTTTAGCATTCTGGTCAACAACGAGGAGTTTGATTTACCCTTCCAGTACTGGATTCCTAAACTCATAAAAATTCTAACAAACAATGATACATTTCCGGGTCCATCAAATACTCATTATTACTCAAAAAAATATTAACTGCTGTAAAAGGCGAAACTTCATACGTAGTACTACAGCACAATCAAGAAGTGGTAAATCAAATGTAGATTCACAAAAACTCCAAAGAACTTTTTTAAAAATTTAAAATCACAAAATATTTCAAAAGTCTATGACATCAAAACATGCAAAACGTATGGATTTTTCTACACTTTCACTTTATATAACCAGCTACTAACAAATAAGTTAATGTTACGAGTGTTTCAGCGACCAGTCTAAAGTAAGCTTTTTTGCAAATTCTACGGTCCTTATAATGATCTTGTTTGTAAATACAACCTATCTTTGGGTCACATTTTGTCTGCCATGCTTCAATCCATTTTTTAGGTTATTGTTTTTATAATTATTTTGACTACGAAATTCTCCGTCTGCCTGATAAATACATAGGTGGGTGTGACATGTCGGTATCTTTCGGTATCTGATCCCACCCGTTGTTTCTAGGGGTCCGTGTTTTTGCCCTGTTCACGATTCGTTTTGTTTTCTGAATCTATAGGATTGATCACTGTTTGTTATCTTCACATTTGACATTGATTTAGAGCAAATTACTCCCAAGTACTAAAAACATTCAACTTCTACCGGGTATATTGGCCTGACTATTGAGATACATCTTACTAGTATACAAACCCTTGTAATGTCACACCCTTGTAATGTTGGGAAACTTGTTTATACTTGATCTAATTGACAAAGAGGAAAGAGAAGTTGAACGATATCTTTGGCGGTCGCAAGCTAGTAAACACAAAGAAAACTGTATTGCTCCGAGATATCAAAAACGTGAACCAAACCTAGAAAGAAGCTGTACATGGAATTAACTGAAGTATACTGACTGGTACTAAACAACCAATTTGTAGATTTTGTAAATATGCAATATTATGTTGTAAATCACAGTAAACTTTTCCTTTTATGTAATATTGTCTAGAGGATACAACCTACCTACATCACAGGTCCATTTTTGTCATTCGAAAAATGTATGATAGGTGGTGGTTTCTTTTGCAACTATTAATGACAAGTGTAAGATAATATATATTTGCACTATATATGCAATCTTTTATTGGTGAATTAAGTTTGAGAGAGTAATATTATTATCATCATTATTATTTGAGTGGATACGTTTAAGTTGTCATTTGTGAGAGAAACTGGAATTCGAACATTTTTTCCCCTTTAAAAATGATTTCTTTGGCGAGATATGCATATACTTTTGCAAACGTTTTCCTTTATATTACATTATTTGAGCAATGCGTATCTATCCTTTTATAAATATAGGTTCCTGCATTCTATTACATAACTGTAAGTGTATTTATTCATTGTAAATTTTGTCCTTGTTAATATTCTCAAAGTAAATATATGAAAGCTTAAATAGCACCTTTATTGGGTAATATATAATACTATGTCTTATCGATCACCGAGATTCCATGGACAATATTGTTCCTCCTGTTTTCGGAAAATTGAGTTTACAGGTAACGTGATTGAAGGTAAACAAGACTAGTGGAGACACTACTATGAACACATTTAAGGAAATTATATTGCTAATACCAATTGAATTATAACTTTTAAACAGTTTTTCGAAATTGGCTTTTAAAATTGTTGATGATGCAAGATGATATCAAATATACCCCTGAATAACTTTTATCATTTTATTGAGTAGATGAACATCTGAGAAAAAAGTGTTTCCAAATATTTGATAGTTAACTTTCATTTACAAGTCATATTGCTTTTGCTCTATTCATATTCTATGTTTTAAAATGTATTTCATTGGTAAATTTTAATGACGTAATTTTGATTCCAACAAAACTAAGGAATTCGAGACCTGGGGCCCGTTTTACAAAAGAACTAACGACTAAGACCAAATTTAATTCTGCTGATAACTTTCTGATTTACATCAAATTGAAAATGGTTTTATTCTTTTTAAAAAAAGGTACAAAGATAATTTTACGCTACAATTTTAAACAACATCATTAATTTTGTAAAATATTACAATCAACTTAATTTTTTGGTCTTAGTCGTAAGTTCTTTAGTAAAACAGCCCCTGTTCAACAAGAAAAAGGTTAAGACCATTGTGAAAGGAATTACATAATCAGTAGACGTTAAAAAGATGGAAAGAGAGCAACTATCAAGTTATTCTCCTGCAAGTTATAATCCGAAAAGTAACTAAGAAAAAGGTTCGTTCTCTCTCTTTTTCTTTTTGTTCGCAAAAGAATGAAAGGAGGGTCTCAGAGTAAGAATTATGAAGAAATTAAAATTCAAAATACCAAATTGCAACTTTCATTTCTAAAGAAAATGAAAAATTCTAATGAGGTATGATAAACACAAAGTATTGATGCTTCCCCTTATGACATATCAATTTTTGGTCACAAAAAAATTATCGATCCAACCTATTAACTTTTCTAAAAGACATTAGTACTGTAAAAGATCAGTAATAATTCTTAAATTCAGAATTCCTTCAAAGATCTATATCACTGATTCAGATTACATTTACCTGATCTTCTCCTTCTTTACCTGATCAATGTTTCTAGGATTTTAGAGATCGATCCTTGTTCGTTATCTTTACCTGTTTTTATTATAACAGGTACTGACAAGTCTGATATAAAATGATTTGATTCATGACATATGCAATCTATTATTGGCCAAGTGGGTCTTCAAGATGACTTAGAGTGGACCTATTAAAGCTGGCATTCTTAAAAGTACAAATGTATAGTAACTTTTAGCTATGAATATGTTTTCCGTCTATGGAATCAGAACTCACTATTTTATATTTTCTTCTATCGAAAAGTGATTTCATTGGCGGGTAAATAATTATGTAATGTTTGTTACATCGCCAACGAAGTCGGTCCTCCTAAGCTTTCTTTAAGCTTGTAACTAATAATATTTTAACCTTGATACAAGATAAGTCTTTTTTTTTTTGTCTAATCATTATCTTAGATTCGATTGGCAATTTCTTTCCTGTTGTTTTAAGAAAGTTGATGAAAAGGAAGTCAAACGAGTAAATTGAAGATAAAAAAATCCAGTGGACCACTATAAGAATACATTTAAGGATATCATATGGCAAGTATTAATCGGATTTGAAATTTGAAAAAAAAAGTTTTTTTGAAAGCGACTTTGAACATGATCATTTAGCAAGATATTATCAAATAAAGCCCTTGAACCATTACTCTAATCATAGCATCAGACAATGAAAATAATTCTAAAGTTGACAGGTTTTCTTCCACAAGCAGCAAGAGTTGACTTTTTTTTTTAGTTATTTTAGGAATGACTCTAATTCTTGACCAAATTATTCGCGTATAACCTGGTTTGGGTCAGTTTACGCTTTATAATCCTCGAAGCGGATTATAAAACAGCGTAAACTGACCCAAACCAGGTTATACGCGAATAATTTGGCCAAGAATTAGAGTCATTCCTTATAATTTAATTTTAAAATCATCAAATAACTATGGGTGTAAAATTTCGTTGCTTTTTATTAGTTCAAATTTGCCGCTCAATAATACAACCGTAGTAACGGAAGTACCGGAAGTGATGGGAAGCGAGGGGAGGTAAAAACTGATACATAGGCCTAGCAGCCTTGTTGTTTGTTTACACGTGGTAAGATCGAATTATTGTTTGGTACATTCATTTATCTGGAATTTTCCATGAATCCCGAGGACTGGAAATGAGAGGATTGTATGGATACATATGATTCAGCTGGTTGTCAGGGGTGTGTGTCCCCATACCAAACCAGGTTATACAGAAATAATTTGTGTTCCTTTTTGGATATTAACCAATCAGAGGTTATAATACAAACAAAATTAAATTATACAAAATTACATAGTATTCAGTTGACTTTTTCCAGAGCTATTTCAATTACAGCTTCAGGGAAAAGATTTTGAGCACGCTGTCGTCCTTAAGTACTTATTCAAGCCATGACAAGGCTTTTTAAAAATTTTGTTTTCATCTTCCTGGAAACCACGCAAACTATTTTTGTTTTCGTTCTGTCAACACTGTATGTTGGAAAATGGATTTCATTGGCTAGTTTTCAGTTACGTAATCTTGTTTCAAACAAAACTAAAACTTCCAGTCCTGCTCAAACAGTCAGTTTAGACTATTTCAAAAGATTCACATATTGAATTAGACATTGTAAATATGGAAAAGAGGCAACGTCCAAATTATTTTCTGGCAATTCAAGTAACCGACAGAAAGGTTTGTTACTGGCATAAATATTTTTAAATTTTTTTATTTTATTTTTAGAAAAAAAAGATAACACATCATCACCTTTACAGATAAGATTTTTATTCTTTAATTTATATGTTTTTATTTCATTCTTTGACTACGGAATGTTTCGTCTTCTTGATCAATATATAAGGCTCACAGCAGGTGTGACAGGGCAAAAGAGTATGCTAACTCCTCGGCACTTGATCCGTTCTCTGGAATTTTCGGGGGTGCGTGTCCTGTTTACAGTTTTGTATTGTTTGCAGATTATTTTTAATCGATCGCTGTTCGTTATCGTCACATTTTTCATTAAATATAGAATTGTAATTATGATTTTTTTTCTATTCAATCAAACGTTTTAATGACCAGAAACACTGAATTGTCTACGGATTTTTCCTTTCCGTTTGCCCTATCATGACAATGACCACTCGGCGGGTGTGACAAATCGTCAGAGGATGCTAACTCCTCCGTCCCCTTATTGTTGCTCTTTGTATACCCGTGATCAATTGATGAGTGCTGAACAGATAAGAGATTGAATGCATGTTGACCTTTTTTTAAAAACTTTTTTATTTGCCCGTCAAGGAATTTTTATTAGTTGATAGTGCCCCCCCCCCCCCCCCCGTGAAAATGTACGGTTTTGCCTCTATGCTTTTATTCCTGGATATGAAATTTAAAAAATATATATCTTTAATTTAACATGTTGGAAGACAGTGTTGTATTTATACATGTATAAGGTCTTTTTAGCCTATCATGTACAATGTGAAGAAGGCAAATATACGAATGATAAAAAGTAAGTGAACACAGGCATTTTCTTTCAATACACGTTCTGCTTTAAAAAAGTGGAAACAGCAGTGTTTTAACGAACATAGAATCCAGTGTTTGCTGTTTCCTCCATCAATTGAGGTCTTATTTTTCACTATACTCTTGATCATTTGGTCACTTAAAGTTATGCGGTACAGATCTAAGGCGTGGACTTAACAGGTCAAGCTGGTTACAAATCATTTCAATGAAAAAAAATATAAAAGGTTCTTTTCACTAGTGTCACATTTTGATTGATTTTATCATTTTATCTTGATTTTATCATGTATGGTCCATTTAAGATCTCTTACAAATAGAATTTCTTTTATGCAGAAAATGATAAATTAATTATATAATTCAGTTTTATTGTTTCATATTAGTTAAAGCAATTTCATATAGATTCGTTTCAAAATATCAGAAAAAATGTGTTTGGTTGAAAAAAAACATATTATGAAATATGTGGAGATAACGAACTGTATCCGAACTCAAAAAGTCAGTTAAACATTACAAAATAGGAGCAGAGCAAACACGGACCTCTACGACATCAGAGGTGGGATCAGGTGCCATGGAGGAGTGAGCATCCTCTGCCGATCGGTCACACCCGCCGTGTGCCCCTTGTCGTTATCGGGAAATAACGGAAAAATCTACGACAATTCAGTGTGTAAATAATGGTCTAACAATTAGTATGAAAAACGTCAGTCAGCATTCGACTTAATGATATATTATATTTGCTGACAAGGTCATTGTATCGACCATAGAACTTACGAAATGATGAATTTAAACGAGACTGCTGATATTCTTGTTTCATCAACTTGTTTGACAATAACTTATCTCGCTTTAGAAATTGTTCATACGTAGAGCATGCTCTGGCATATCGAATCAATTGAGAGATATAAACCCCGTATGCAGGTGATAAGGGTATATTGCTGCATAAGTAAGGAAAGTTGACGATTGAAAAGTTAAAGTCATCACGTTATTGTAAAGCTTTGTTGTTAGATTTCCATTAACGCCTTTATCTAATAAAATATTCAAATATGAAACAGATGTGTCAGACTCTGTGGTATCTTTTATCTCAAGCTATTCATAATTGATATACCTTTGTGTAAATATCGATATGAGTTACAAAAAGGACTGATACCGTATTAGTTTTTGTTTTGAACATATTTTATTGACAATGTGTCAAATTGATTGGACACAAGTTCTAGAACTTAGATAGTCCTCTCCCATACATAAAATCTTAATAGCCATACAACATTTACAAAGATTTACAATTTTACAATATTATACATGAACGTAGAAGAACAAAGACAATAGTTATTATTGCTGAGGAATATCAATTGATATAATAATGATTATAATGACGTCAATAACCATATTAAAATAGTTTCAAAAGGTAGTAAATACAAGTACACGTCAGTGTTATTTGAAACGACCAGTATCCTGAATAAATTTTTGAACAATACCAAATATTTTTTTCATTTTCCTGCAAAGATGATTCATCTCCCCATAACAGTTTATGCACATTTAACATTTTTACATTATTAATTACAAGTAATGCATTCAACATTAAACGTCAACTTCAAGATATTTTCTACACACAAAGAAATAATGATGACTATCCTCCTTATATCCATAAGAACAATTTGGATTCGTTATAATGTTACATCTATACAAGTCATGATTTAAAATACAATTGTGCCTTATTCTTGTATGTAAAATGTTCAAATACCCTTTGCCTTATGACAGATACTTGGGAGGCTTGTCATTATTATTATTCAATTTTCTTTTAAAAATTCCCATTGAAGTTATTCCCCTTGTTCCATTACTCAATGAATTCCATTTACGAATAGTATCAGAGACAAATGACTTTTTTAGTAATTCAAGCCTGCACTTCGGTAAAAAAATAATTACTTGAATTACGAGTATTGTAATTTAAAACACTGTTTCTAACTACTGGTACTATATTTTTTAAATAACCAGGTACTAGGTTATTGTGGATTTTAAACATTGTTAAAAGTTTAGCTTTGTCCCTTCTTATTATAAGAGGTTCCCATCCTGTTTCAACATACAACGAGTTTCTTGACGCTAATACTGACAGACCTGTCACAATTCTTGCAGCGCTCAACTGAACCTTTTCAAGTTTTTCAATATCTGCAAACGAACAGCCTGACCAAACTTCAGATGCATACTCATGTTGTGGTCGAATAAAGGAAACGTAAATTTTGGGTAAAGTATCTCTATAGACACTGAAAATTTAAGTTTCTTGAGAAGTCCAAGTTTTTTGTAGCTTTTACTGACAATACTATCAATGTAATCAGTCCAGCCTAACTTAGATGAGAAAATAACACGAAGATGTTTATGTTGTGTTACATATTCTAGCTGACAGTTCCCAAAAAAATAATGCAGGTAATTGATTTGTATTTTTTAAGCTGAAAAACACTACTTTTGTTTTACTTGGATTAAATTTTAATAGCCATTTTTTGGACCACTCATCCAGAATTTTTAAATCATGGTTTAGGTTATGTTCAATAAGGCGCACGTCACTTGAGCTTTCTTGTAGAAGTTATCGTCTGCAAATAGTCTGCAAACAGATATCATATTTTCGGCAACATCATTCACGTATATCAGAAATAAGAGAGGACCTAGGACTGAGCCCTGGGGAACCCCAGCATGCACATTTTTCACGGAAGAAAATAAATTTTTATACATGACTTTTTGTTTTCTATTGATAAGGTAGCTTTCCAACCATTCTAACATATTACCTGAGATACCATACATTTTCAGTTTATAAATCAATCCCCTATGCCAAACTCTATCAAAAGTTTTAGATAGAGCGCAAAAAAACCATACAACAATGTTTCCCTTCATCAATGCTTTTTACAATAGTATGATTTTCTCTAAAAGTTGATACACAGTTGAGTGACCAGGCAAAAAACCTGCCAGATATTTGTAGAACAAATTATTTGTATGAAAAAAATTATATACATGTTTAAAAATCACTCTTTCAAATATTTTACTCACACAACTCAAAAGAGATACAGGTCTATAATTTGAAGTCACTGATGGGTCATCTTTTTTAAATAGAGGTAGCACATGTGCTAGTATCAGTTGCGGATCCAGGATATTGCGTTAGAGGGTGTGCTACGAGATGGCAAAAGCTCTTAATACCTCTTATTTCCTAGCAGCTAGGTCAAGAAAAGTGTCCTGTGGGGGGTCATGCGTTAATTCGCCGTAATATCCAAAGAATAGTTTTATTTTGACATGAAAATGACTGTTATTTCACTTTATGTCATCAAAGTATGACAGTAAACTATACCTAGATTTTTTTTTCTTTAAAGGGGGTGGTTGCCTGGAGCCTGGTTTGTATCCGCACCTAGTATAGATCTAGTTTAAGCCCTACCACACAGTCACGATTTAGTACGAATTCAAAAATCGCAACAGTTTAGTGTTTATCGTTGAGATAGTCGTAAGATACTAATACCTTCCTTGTTCGTGTTTAATCGCAGCACACGGTCCACACTGTAGCTATTACCATGATCAACTAACTTTAATATTATGTTTAATAATTTCAAACAACTCTATATATTCTATATGCATTTCATAACATGTATGTTCGTATGAAATCGTCATTAGTCGTCGGAATATCGTGTATATGTATCGTAGTCATTCGTACGAGTATCCAAATGTAAACGCGTTAAATCCTTCATAATCGTAGAAACATCGTAACCAGATTGTAATTGGCTCTGATTTTCTGTTATTGACCATGAATCTATGTAGACCTCTACTATGCAAAATTGTAATCTTTGGAACAGTTAATTTTTTTTTTAGATAAAATTATTTTGTGTAATTGCTGGAATGTGTAAAGAAACTCTCTTGTTGTTATTGTAATAAAGACTTTAAAAAAAATTATATCAAGGGAATTAACTTTTGACAGTTTTTCTCTTTAAAAATTTTATGTATTTATTCCATTAATATTTCAGCTTAGATATCGTAACAAATAATTTCAAAATAATGATATTAAAACTACAGAAAGTAAATAATGTAATTTGGTTAATGTAAAAAAAATTAAGTTATTCGAAAATATTAACAGATTTAAAACGTAAAATATTTGATAGTTGTCTATAGCAAATATGGATAACGTAAAATTACATCGTGATGTCATGCCCGTAAGTACGTCTTTTGTGAACAATTAT